GGGAGAGAGGGAGAGAGAGGGAGGGAAAGAGGGCGAGAGAAGGGGAGAAAGAGAGAGAGAGAGTAGGAGCACCTGCGTCCAAGCCTCACAAGGCCGAATGTTAAGAAACACCTTCCCTCTTTCTGGCCTTCTCTCCTGTTTCCCTCCCAGATGCCAGGCCCGGGGCTGGTGCGGGAAGTGGGTGGTGGACATGCCAGCCAGTGCGGCGCTGAGCTCCGCGTGCAGGGTAACAGGAATACACAAGGCGATGTGAAGTTAAGCCCAGGAAGACAACTGGGCACGGAAAGGAGAAGCTGGTGCGGGTTTTTCGGTGAAGGCTCCCTGGGGAAGGGAGGGGAAGGGGCCAGCCATGCAGGGCTCTGCAGGGAGGGTGTCTCGGGCAGAGGGACCTGCAGGTGTGAAGGCCCCAGGATGGGAAGGGACTGGGTGTGTCTGAAGAGCAGAAAGGAGGCCAGGGTGGCTGGCTGGAGTGAGTGAGCTAGACAGAGGAGGGCAGAGCCCAGATCTGCAAGGCATTTGGATTTTACTCTCAGGTAATGGACAGCCACTGGAGGATTTAGGCAGGGAGCGGTGCAATCAGATTTGTTTTAACTGTGCCCTCTGCTGTTGGGCAGAGGAGGAGGGGCCGTGGCGTATCTGGGAAGGTGAGGACAAGCTGTGGCCCATGACCTTGCATGGAGTCCCCACCCCAGGCCTGGTACTGAGGCCGCTAATCCCTGCAGGCGGAATTGGAATGGCTGGAGGCCTGGGTTTCCTCTCCACTGCAAGTCTCCCCCACTGCAGGGGGCCTGGGTAGTGTCCTGGTGTGGGGGTGCTCCAAACGCTCTGGGGGCCGCAGAGCACCCCCAAGGAAGCATGCACACCTCACCCAAGTAACAGTCACACTCTAGGTTCAGATTTAGATCCAGGTAAATGATTTAAAGCATTTTTAAAAATATTAAAATAAATGTGGAGTAGAATGAAAGATTCACACTATTTTTAAAGGGTGAAAGGAAGTGATTTCACCTTTGCAGTCAGCAACGCCAAGACAGCTTTCTGGGTCTCTTCTCAACTGTTATAGGTACCTTGAAGGAAAAGTTTGAGAAACATACCTTGAGGTTTCAAAGAGAACAGGGGATGGGAGAGAAGGAAAAAAAAAGATGAAGGGAAAAAGAGCAAGAACAGCCTGGAGGAGGGGAGGGCGGTGAATCCAAAAGAAACAAACCAAAAAAACAAAAACCCAAACCCGCTGCCCTTGAGAGGATTCCAACTCACAGGGACCTAGAGGACAGAGTAGAACTGCCCCACAGGGTTTCCAAGGCTGTAAAACCTTTACAGAAGCTGACCGCCACGTCTTTCTCCCTCAAAGCGACTGGCGAGTTTGAACGGCTGAACTTTTCGGTTGGCAGCCGAGCGCTTTAACCACTGCGCGACTAGGGGCTCCTCAAAAAGAAACAAGACAGAGGGAATATTGTATTTAGCGGCAATTTTCCTAAAGGTATCTGTTCTCTTCCTTTTCCTCCAATCTCATAGGCCCCCACCAGGCCTGAGTGGCCCACAGAAACTGGCCCGTTTACTTCCGGTGCCCACACTGGCTGGCTTTGCTGGGAAACAAACAGACAAACAAAAAGCCAGTTGCCGTCAAGTAGATCCTGACTCCTAGCGACCCCATGTGGGCCAGAGTAGAACTGTGCTCCAGAGGATTTTCAGTGGCTGATTTTTTGGAAGTAGCTTGCCAGGCTTTTCTTCCGAGGTGTCTCTTAGTGGGCTCCAACCTCCAAAGTTTCAGTTAGCAGCCGAGTGCGTTAACCGCTTGCACCACCGAGGGATTGGGAAACACAGTCCCCTCCTTTAAGAGGGCCCGGTGGAAGGAATGCTGTCTTTCAATTAATTAAATGGATACAAGCCACACACAGACATGATGTTGCTGTTGCTTGTATTTTTTCTCCAGGAAGCTCCATAAAGCATGTTTTTGCTGGGCATATTATTTACACGGTGGAAAGAACAAGCCATCTCCTCGCCAAGGGAAACACACATCGGGGCTGTGCGGACAGGCTGTGTGCTGGGGTCAGGCCCCGCCTCCGGCTCACTTCCGGCCGCAGAGGGGCCGGCCCCCCCTCCCCCGCCGACGTGCGGTGTCCTCCCAGGGCCAGTCCGTCCCTTTGCAGGTTTGTGGTTGGCAATTGCTTCAAGCCACAGAGGGGGAGGGGGTGTCCTGGCGGCAGCGGCGGCCCTCTGGGTTCAGTTGTTGTCTCTGGTGTCCGAAGAGGCACTTCCAAACAAGATGTCACTGTCCTGGGACATGTTGCTGAGCTGCGACTTGGTTTTGATGAGGAACTGGGTCCTCCGGAACATCAGCCTCTCCTGCTCCTGCTTGAGCTCCAGGTAGGAGCGGGAGAAGGTGTGGAAGATGGAGGTCACCGGAAAAGCCATGAGGAGGATGCCGCTGAGGATGCTGCTCAGCGCCACCACCTGGCCAGGGGTGCTCCTGGGGACCATGTCTCCGTAGCCCACGGTGGTCATGGTGATGACGGCCCACCAGTAGCAGGCAGGGATGCTGGTGAACTCGGGGCTCTCGGCCATCTCGTTCTCGATGACATAGAGGAGGGGGGCGAAGAGGGCGATAGCCACGCACAGGAAGAGCAGCAGCAGGCCGAACTCGCGGGTACAGCGGCGGGCCGTGAGCCCCAGCGTCTGCAGGCCCAGCGAGTGGCGGGCCAGGCGCATCACGTACAGGATGCGCAGCGCCCGCAGCACGCGCAGCACCAGCCCCACCTTGTCTAGGTAGCTGTTGCTCACGCCGGGCTTGTGGCGGCCCGCGGCGGCGCCATCCACCAGCAGGGTGACGTAGTAGGGCAGGATGGCCACCAAGTCGATGAGCGTCAGCGGGCTGCGCAGGAAGACGAACTTGCTGGGTGCCTGGACGAGCCGCAGGAGGAACTCGAGGGAGAACCAGCCCACGCACACCGACTCCACGATGAACACGTTGTGGCACATCTGGGAGCACTGGCCCTGGGGAAGAGGGAGAGGTCACGGCGGCGTCCCCGGCCAGAGGTGCCACCAGCGAAGCAGCATGCTGAAGCAGGTGCTGGGCTCCCTGGGTGAAGGGTGATCTGGACACCTCTCCTGTCACATGGCCTGTCCTCTCTAGTTATGCCCACTCCCTGGATGACCGTGCCCAGGCCTGGGGCTCCAAGTGCCATCTCCACACTGACCACTCCTGACCTCTCTCCAGCCCAGAACTTGCCCCCGATCTCCTGACCCCAGACTCCAGCTGCCTCCTTGCCATGCCCCCCAGGTGTGGCGGTGTCTCACACTCATCCTATCCAAAACTGGGCTCCTGACTGCCTCGCCTGGGGCTTGCCCCATCTTAAACAGTTGTGGTTGAGTCAATTCCGACTCCTGGCAACCCTGTGTATGTCAGAGGAGAACTGTGCTCCATAGGATTTTCAGTGACTGTGATCTTTCAGAAATAGATCGATAGGGCTTTCTTCCGCGGTGCCTCTGGGTGGACTTGAACCTCCAACCTTTCAGTTAGCAGCTGACTGTGTTAACCGTTTGCACCACCCAGGGGCTTCCCTTTCTTCACTACTGCCAATTCCAACCTTCTAGTTACTCAGGACAAGAGCCCCGGCCTCATCCTGAAGCCCTCTCTCTCTCTCACACCTCCCCTACAATCTCAGGAAATCCTGTTGGCTGCTCCTTCAAGATAAATCCACTGCCCCCACCCTGGAGCCCTGGTGGTGCAGTGGTTAAGAGCTACAGTGAGCTATGCCTCCTAACCAAAAGGTCAGCAGTTTGAATCCACCAGTCGCTCCTCAGAAACTCTATGGGGCAGTTCTACTCTGTCCTATAGAGTCACTATGAGTCAGAATTGACCCAAGGGGTTTGGTTTTTTGGTTTGGCCCTGCCCCATCCTCTCCTGCCTGGGCTCTCTGCTTCTGCCCTCACCCCTGACCATCTACTTTCCACCTCTACTCTACCCATCTGCTCCCTCTCCCAACTTCCTTCCCCCACCCCCCTTTTGCTCCCCTGCTCTGGCCTCCTGGGCCTCCTCCCTGCTCCCCTACGTGCCAGGCCTTCATTTTCGGTCCCGCGGTTGGCCTGCTCTACCCCAAACCCCCACATCGCTCCCCCTCCCTTCCCCCAGGCCTTTGCTTCAAACCTCACCCCACTGAGGTTTTCTGACTCTCCAGCTTGAAAAATGTCCCCGCCGCCCATTCCTTGTGCCCCAGTTCCCCCTTCCTAGCACTCAGCACCTTTTAATAAACTTTACTGTTTACTTATTTGCCATGTTCATTGTCTGTCTCCACCTCCCCACCTCACCCACCCCAGCGGACTATAGCCCCCACCCCCCCGCACGTGCCCCACAGACAGGCAGTTTGTGTGGGTCGTTCACTGCTGTGACCCTGTTGCCCGGAACAGGCCTGGCACACAAGTGCTCAGTTCACATTTGTTATGGGAAGGAGCAGAGGAGCTGGACTGGAGTTTAGGCAGAGGTTGCAAACTCAAAAGCTACCGGGGTCAGGCAGGCAAAGGGAAGGGGAGTGGGCCAGGTGGGGGCTGGCGCCCCTGGAGAGCCTGTGCCCTCCCTGCCAGTGCTGCCTGACTGCTGCCCCACGAGAATTCTGGCTTAAGGCTGCCTCACCAAATTTTCAAGAGAAGCTAGAAGTCTGGCTTTTTACAGAGACGCTCCTGCTTTTTAAATGTTGGTGACTAATTCAGTACAGAGATAGCACTCCCTGGGCCTCTGTGTGCTGGAATGGGCACGTGGGTGGCCAGCTTGTCTCTCTGGTCTGGAATATCCCTGGATGGCTGGACAGTCCATGGTGACTTTGGACTTTATTATCAGCAGAGAGGGAAGGGACAAGTGGGTTTAGCCTGGGGGAAGCTTGTAGGTTCTTGGGCACAGGTGGGTTCTAAGAGTCCTGCTCCAGGAGGCCTCTCCCCAGGAAGAGGTTAGAAGTGGAGACATGAGTTAATCTTTGGTGTGACTTTTTAAGGTCACAGACTGCTAGGGCAGGAAGCCACCTTCTCTGGGAAGTCTTCCTGGATTACATTGTTGACAAGCCTCTCACACAGAGCCCCCCCCACCCCGTCTTGCACCTCATGCTTAAGGTCATGGGGGTGCATATGTCACTATGCCACCTCACCCCATCCCCCCTTAGACTTGAAGCTCTTGCGGTTGGAAGACTTGTCCTGGTCACCTTATTTCCCCTGTGGTGCCTGCATACTGTAAGCACTCAAAGGCGTGCAGATGGAGTGAATGAAACAGTGAATCCCACGGGCCACCAAAATGAAGTTAAAGAACAGCATTTTCACTGACTCGTGAAAAATGCCAGGTATTAAAAAAAAAAAAAAGCGAGTATCCGAAGTTAAATAAAACAGTGGCTTTATTGATGTTTTCCTGATAAAACCAGGATCGCAGATGTCAGAGCTAAGAAGAAATCTATTCAAAGCACAGATACTTCCAGGTAGGTCTCAGATGGTAAGCATTTTCTTTTTGGCGGGCAGTGTAACAGTTAGGGTTGCACTTTTTGCACACTCATTATGTGCCAGGTACTATTCAAGTCACTTGACGTGGATTCACTCACTGAAAGCTTTAAGGTGGGCCTCTTGATCGTACCCTTGGACAGGTGAGGAAGCGGAAGCACAGAGAGTTTAAGTAACTTACCCATGGTTACAGAGCCAGGGTGGACGAAATGGGATTCGAATTTAGGCAGTCTGGCTCCAGCCTGCCCTCTCAACCCCTTGTGCTTGTCAAACATTAATTTTACTGGTTGAGTGCTGTTTTTTTTAGTGTATAAGAAAGTACCAGAAACCCTACATGGATTATAAATAGAACAACTATGGCTACACATATGTGGAAATATCTTCACATGGTATTTCTAAAGTTAACTCAGAGAATGCACGTAAAGCACTTAGCACAGCACAGAACCCAGCAGGAGCTCAGTAAATATTGCCCAGCATGATATTTATGTGTATGCCTATTTCTGCAATGCCTACGCCTGCCTGAGATCTTTTGGTCTTTCTTGAAACTTGCTCCCAGAAACCCCTGTGTGTAAGGGCTTCAAATCTGTTGCTGTCAAGTCGATTCTGACTCATAGCAACCCTATAGGACAGAGTAGAACCGCCCCATAGGGTTTCCAAGTCTGCAATCTTTACAGAAGCAGACTGCCACATCTTTCTCCCACGGAGCAGCTGGTGGGTTTGAACTGCTGGGCGCTTAACCACTGTGCAACCCACTAGGGTTCCTTGTGTGTAAAGAAGGGGCCACCAACTCAAAGGCTTACAGGTCTCATAAATGAGGAAGCCGAGCCGGGAGTACTCAGCTCCTGCTGACAGCTGATGGCTGGGGCTGTGGGCCCAGGGGATCTGACCTTATACTTAAGAGAAGCTGGGAGTTTGAATTTTTATATGAAAAACGCCCTACTTTTAAATGTTGGTCAAATTTTTAGGAAACACTGGGGGTCAAGCACACCCCTCCGTGGGGCTGTCCTAGGTCTCCAGGCAGCCATGCAGAAACCGTACTTCCATGTGTAAGGACACAGACTTTGGACTCAGTCAAGCCTGGGTCGTGAGCCACGTGGCTTTGTGCGAGCTGCTCAGCCTCAGTGTCTGCATCTGTCAAGTGGGTGTGAACGGCTGCCTCCTGGGACTGCCTGAGGACGGACCCGGAAGATGCAGGTAGGGTGTGCAGCCCAGCTCCCAGCTCTAAGACCTGGCGGGTGGGGAGCAGCCCTTACATGAGCACACAACCTGTCTCGGGCACTGGATTCAATACTTTACTTGACTGTCTTATTTAACACAAAGAAATGCCCACCATTTGAGGACATGGACACACACACAGACACACCAATAGAAGTTACGTTCAGGGCCCCGAAAATCTTTCTGGGATATTTTTATGCAAAAGAATGAGGAAGGCTGAGAAAGGACTCTTGTCAGTGAAATGAACTTTGGATGATAAACATAACGCGCTTAGATCACGCACATCACAAATCGCATCCACCGATTCGCTCATTTGCTCACGCAACACACTCAGTCGCTCCTCATTATTCGCAGATTCTGTATTCGCGAACCCGCACACTCACTAGAACTGCTCGCGGTGCTGTTTTATCTGTGATCATGCGCGGACATGCACGTGTCAAGAGGAGCGGTTCCGGTTCCAGCCGAGGTGAACGTGCCGGCTCGGTATTCGCTCATCCGGGGGACTTTAGAGAACATTAACTACCGCAAGTAAGGAGGATCGACTGTACTGCTGAATGCCTTGACAGTGCTAGACGCCATCCAGGCGCTGGGGACACAGCAGAGACGAGGACAGACATGGCCACTGTCTCCTGGAGGTCTCATTTTAAAGGGGAGGCAGACATCCCACATGTAAACATGCCGTCATGTAGCATGATGCAGGGGGGCTGGGGATGCTATTCGGCCAGCAGAGTCAGGGAGGACTCTTTGGAGAAGGTGACATTGGGCTTGTGTGACGGATGTGGACCCCTGGGAGAGGAGTGGTCCCACAGACTGTCCTGTCCTCAGGGACCCGTCCCCAACTGCCCCACGAGCTGTGGGCTCTTACCTGCTCCTCCTCTTCCCTCAGGCTGGGCAAGGTGCTGACGGACAGGTTGACGGCGGTGACGGTGACAAAGAGCACTGAGAGGCAGGCGAACACCTTGCCGGGCAGCCCCGAGTGCGGCCGCTCCACCATGTCGCGAAGTCTGCGCATGCAGTGGCTCAGGCGGCCCTCGGCCTCCGCCGGGCCCTCGCTGCCGTGGCCCTCGCTGTCCGGCGCTTCGTCCTCGTCCTCCCGCTCTACGATCTCCGCGAACTCCTCGATCTTCTGCAGGTAGCGGCGCTTGCAGCAGCCGTCCAGGTGGTCCTCGGCGATGCCCCAGTAGAGCAGCTCCTCCTGGAAGGACAGGGCGCACATCTCGCGCAGCAGCCGCAGCTTGCCCGCCCGCAGGAAGGTCAGGATGGTGCCGAAGGCGCCCGGGTTGCGGTCAAAGAAGAACTCGTTGCAGGTCACATCGTAGTCATCACACACGTTGAGGATGTCGTCAAAGTTGGTGCAGGCCTTGAGCTGACCCAGGCGCGTCAGCGGGAACTCGTCCAGCGTGGTCCAGGGCAGCGAGTACTTGATGCCGCCCACGTTGATGATGATCCGGCGTCGGCGGTCCTCGGGCTGGCCGCCCAGGCGGGGCTCGTCCTGCGGCCGCAGCCTCTGGGCCCGGCGGTAGAACACGCCCTTGAGGGCCTGGCTGTGCTGGAGGAAGGCTGGGTTGAAGGATGCGTCGGAGGTGCAGCTCAGGGCGCTGTAGTCGTAGTCAGAGTTGTCCCCAGGGAGGAGGGTCATTTTGGGCCTTCACATCCCTCTCGGGCCTGAGGGGAGAAGGGGAGACACCCGCAGTGACTCCTGAGTCTGGGCTGAAGCTTTGCCTCCGCAGAGACTCACTTAGCAATAAGAATACAATACTACAGCCCAGCATCTCCTGACCCTCAGGGTTCCCAGGCCACCTTCACAATTTGGCCATGTATGCCTTGCTTATGCAACAAAATTTACTGAGCGCCACTGTGTACCTGGCACTGTGCTAAGCACTGGGGACTCAGCAGTGCACAGAACCAGTGTGGTCCCCTTCCCCGGAGCTGACATCCTCGGGGACTGTCGTGCCATGCCTATGCTGTTATTTACTTAACTTGGTATTTTAAATTAACGCAACGTTTTAAAATTTAACTTGGAGAGGCAGTTTAATGTAGTGCCTTGGTCTTCAATGGGACAGTTTTGTCCCTCAGGGGACCATGGAAAATGTCTGAGACATTGGTTGTCATGATTGGGTGGGAAGTGCTACTGGCGTCTAGTGGGTGGAGGCCAGGGATGCTGCTAAACATCCTAGAGTGCAGATGACGGCCCCCACAACAGAGAATTATCCAACTCCAATGTCAACAGTGCCGAGGTGGAGAACCCCTGCGGTAGTGGTTATAAGCATCAACTCTGGAGCCACGTGGCCTGGGCAAATTATTCAACCTTGATACATTGCAATTCCTCATCTACAACATCTGAACTACTTCGCAGGATTATTGAGAGGATTCAATGAATTACGTACATATGAGCACGTAATATAGTGCCTGGTACAAAGTAAGTAGGTACTCAATAATTGTCGTCTATTTGTGCCCGGGAAGAAAGGCCTGGCGATCTACTTCCAAGAAATCAACCACTGAAAAACCTACAGAGCACAGTTCTGCTCTGATGCACATGGGTTGTCATGAGTTGGCATCAACTTGATGGCAAGTGGTTTATTATTACTATTAGTATTTATCTAACATGACACTTTGTATGTTCTTCAATGGAAGACTAATATCACCTGTCATAAAGGCAATGTACACAGAAACACACAGTTATCAGAACAGGGCCACATGTGCTCATGTATCACAAACATGACCTTCAGGATATAGGGGCAAACCAGGCGGGCACACTCGCTCCTCCAGGAAACCTTCCTTGGACCTTCTGACTAAATCCAGTGCCCCCTTCCTTAAATACCTGGTGCATTTGTCCTCACTTAACCTAACATCTGGCTTTAGAATCATTCCTGTGCAAGGCTGGCTCCTTCATCAGACCGCTTGCTCCCTGAGGGCAAGGCCTGTGCTTTACTCATCTCTGGTGCCCAGCACTGTCAAAGCTCAGAGAAGTACTCATTGAATGAGCCAGTTTCCTGTTGGTGAGGCCAAGGTGAAGGCACCGCCGAGAAAGGAGGTCACCACATCAGCTTGCATGGAATCCTTCCTTCCGACCTTCAAAGCTAAAGGTCTGTGGACTAGAATGGCACTGTTTATTCAGACATGCTCACGGGCTGAATTTGGTTCACAAATATTCTGGGTGGCTTGGAGAAGATTTTGAAATTGAGAAAGTACATGTAAAAAATCATATTAAAGCCTGGCCGCACTTGGACCAAATTCCAAGTGAGAAATGGCTGCCCCCTTTAAGTGGGGCATGCATGCTCCAAGCCACCACAGTCCCCACCACTCCCTATTGTCTTCCTAACATCCACTCTACTTCAACTCACATGTGTTTTCTTCCTGGCCCTTGTAGGCATTTGAGTTTGAGAACCCTGGCTTATGCTCTCCAGAAGTAAGTCGATACATAGAAAAGTAACAAGAGTCCAATATGTTGCCTTTTTATCCATGTACCTGCCATCCCCAAAGGAAGTTAGTGCTACCAGCAAAGTTCATCAGAACTCCAGATGGAGACCCATTTCCAACAGCTGAGTGTCAATCTGTGCTACAGACATGTTCAGGAAATACACACACACACACACACACACACACACACACACACACACACACACACACACACACTAATGGATAAGAAACAATGTTTTAAAAGCAGGGAGCACGGGGGAGGGGTTCACCTTCGAAATGGGCTTCTAACAGGAATTCTTAAAAAAAAAATCACTTCTCCACTCATTGATCTTTGGGGGGAAATCTACAGTTTCATAGATTGGGTTTTGGAAAACTAGGGTGCACCTGTGTTTGAAATAAAAATGATTTGATTTTAGAGTATTGAGGGCGTTTTTAACTTCACATAAAATTGGAACCCATCTCCTTAGGCGAAGCCTGCCAGGATCCCTCAGAGGTGCGAGAAGAATCCCTTTTAGGCACTTCACATTAGTGATGCCGCTTTTCAGTTCTGATGCTTTATCTCTGCCACCAAAGACGAGAAAAAACGACATTCAGTTTGGCAAGGATGGTGATAGAGGCAAACGAACATTGCTCTCTTCCCGCACGCCCTGTGGGGCTATGGTGAAATCCCCACAGCTGTATTCACCTCTTCCTCCCAGAAGTTCTCCTTGCAAGCTGCCCTGCCTTCCTTCCAGCAGAAAGCTTCCCTAATTAACCATTCCTCGGTTCTTTCCGTCAGCCGTCCCTGTGGTGAGTTAAAGCCTCAGCATCCCGTGTGGGAGTTGTCCTGTCTCAGAAGATCGTTTAATACAGAGGGGAGGGGAAAATGCACACCATGTTCAGGTGGCTCCGACACGGAGTGACAATGGACGCTGTGGGCACCACCCTCTCAGAGCCCGAGTTAAGAACAGGGCAAGGGATGGAGAACGATGAGGGTGGGGTAGGGTGACACTAGTGGGAGTGATCAGGGAGGGCCTCTTGGAGGAGGTGGCATTGGGGCTGAGCCATATGGATGGGAAGGAGCCAGCTTGTGATGATGTGAGGAGGATATCTCAGGGAGAGGGAACAGCAGGAGGATGCTCCCTGATGCTGGACTGGGCTTGGATGGTAAAGACCACAGAGAAGGCCAATGTGGCTGCAGCAGAGGGAGTGAAAGGAAGGTGGTAGAAGGTGTGCTTGGGGAGGTCTAGTGGCCTAGCGGCCCAATTAGGAGCTGGGATTTTATTCTACGTGGGACAGGAAGGTCATGGGTGGTTGTGTGGCGAGTAGATGGTCTGGGGATATCAGGCTGAATGCTACTGCAGTCATTCTGGAAAGAGTCAAACAGAGACCTGCCCTAGGCTGGAGGTGCAGGAAACAGGGAGAACTGGATGGATTCGGGGTGTACTTTGGAGGAAGAGCTGACAGGACTTGCTGAGGGACAGAGCGTTTGGTGAGAGGGAAAGGAGAGGAATCAAGAATCCCTTGGTGGTGCCATGTTCTAAGGTGGCAGACAGGGGGCGCTATGATGAGCCCTGAGTGAGCAGAAGCATTTCCTGGCTGTGGGAGGATGGGTGAGAATGTGGGCAATTCAAGGAGAGAGAGCAAAAATGGGGGCGTCTCGCATGGATGGAGTGCTCGTTTCCTAGGCTGCTGTAACAAAGTACCACAAACTGGGTGGCTTAAAACAACAGACGTTTATTGTCTCACAGTTCTGGGGGCCAGGAGTCTACATTCAGGGTGTTGGCTGGGCCGTGTTTTCCCTGATGACTCTAAGGAAGAACCCTTCCTTATCTCTTCCAGCTTCTAGTGGTTCCTGGCAATCCTTGACTTTCCATGGCTTAGAGGTGCATCACTCAATCCCTGGCGCCATAGTCACAGGCTGTCTTCCTCCCAGTCACACTGGATGAGGGCCCACCCTATTCCAGTACAACCTCCCGTTAACTAACAGCATCTTCAAAGACCCTGTTTCCAAATAAGGTCATAATCACAAGTACCTAGGGTTAGGACTTCAACATATCTTTTTGGGGGACACAATTCAATTCATAACAGATGGTGTTAGGCCACCAAAACTGATCTGATGAGCATGTGGAAGTGGGGCACAGCTGGGTAGCTCTGACCTGGCTGGGCTGGAGAGGGGCAGGAGGGCTAGGCTAGCCATGTGGAAACCTCAGGAAGGCACAGAGACAGGGTGAAGCCCAATGGCAGGGGCCATACCTGTCCCCAGCATCCAGCACCCACTTCCTGGCTGCTTCACCCCACATCAGGCCTGACTGGTTGGTGCAGGTAAGCATCACTAGGGGTGGGGGTGGTAGTAGAATAATGCCCCCCACCCCAAGATGTCCATGTGTTAATCCCTGGAACCTGGGAATATGTTACATGATAAAAGGGAGTTTGCAAGTGTAATTAAATTAAGGATTTGGAGCTGAGAATATCCTGGATTATCCACATGGGCCCAATGTAATCACAAGATCCTTATAAAAGAAGGGTAGGAGGGTTGTGTCAGAGAAGGCAATGTGATGAAGGAAGCAGAGGTCAGAGAGAGCTCTGAAGATGCCACACTGCTGTGAAGACGGAGGAAGGGGCCAAGGACTACAGGCAGCCTCTAGAAGCTGGAAAAGGCAAGGAAGCTGACTCTCCCCTAGAGCCTCCAGAGGGAACCAGCTCTGCCGACACCTTGATTTTAGCTCAGCGGGACCCATTACAAGGAGCCCTGGTGGTACAGTAGTTAAGTGCTAGGCTGCTAATTGAAAAGGTGGTGGTTTAAACCCACCAGCAGCTCCGCAGGAGAAAGATGTGGCCGCCTGCTTCTGTAAAGACTACAGCCTTGGAAACCCTATGGGGCAGTTCTCCTCTGTCCTATAGGGTCACTGTAAGTCAGAATCAACTCCATGGCAATGGGTTTTGTTTGTTTGTTTGGGACCCATTTCAGACTTCTGACCTCCAGAACTGGAGGACAATAAATATGTGGTGTTTTAAGCCATTCAGTTTGTGGTCGTTTGTTGCAGAGGCCATGGGACACAACTAGAGGGGATCTGAGGAAAAGCTGGTCCTACTCCAGGATGGGGGGCAACCTGCTGACTACCCCAAGCTGGGGAGGCAGAAGATCCCAGTGGCTCTGAAATCAGGAGACCTGAGTTCATGGCCAGTTGCTCTGTGACTTTGGGCAAGTCACTCCTTACCTCTAAGACTCAGTGTCCCCATCTGTAAAATGGGGATAGAATAGC